GGACTAAAGTAATTTTTAATCAAACTTGCCATTTCCCCGAAAAACGCGAGAAGCTATTGTTGGTTTCTTTGCGAACGCGAATTTATTATCTAAATGCGGCATCGATGGGAACTTTTATTTTTATTTTTTTTTTCAGGGCTCACATATAGTAATGTTTCGAACATTCAGACATTCAGCAGGACAATTGCGAATAATTGTAGCTTCATCTAATACCTATACCTATAACTAAAACAACATTACAAAAAGCAGATCAGGAACAAACCCTTTGCCTACGTGGGAATTCCTCAGTTTACTGCAACCAGTATTGAATGATATTGAGTCTAGTCAACTAAATATCTAGGTACAATTAATTAATTGCCTTTCACAATTGAGAACTTACAATAAAATTACAAAATACACATTAAATAATTCTAATATTATAATTATTTGACGGTTAGTTCTTAAATATGTAAGGAATAATTAATTAATTGTTATAAATTGCTACATTTCTCTAAAACACTGGACATTATCAATTATTTCATGTTAACTGTTGCGCATAAATTAATATTTATTTTGTAAAGGTTACATGTTGCTTGATTTAACAGTGGTAGACGCCAATAACATCTGTTGCACGAATGGGTCAGCTCGACCGGTTCAATACCACGACCACACAGAAGACGGGCGTGAAGTTGATCAAATTCCGCGTTTCAGTTACAGTTTCGTTCATTATAAATTAATTATGTTTAAGCATAGTTATCCTGTTAAACATCATGGAAAAGTTTATAAGACTATGATTTGATACAGACTAAAGAAAAAAAAGGCATAGACAAGTGATCCGTCAGCTTACGTTTTTTGTCGTAAACGAATAATTAGTACGTTATAAAAACTTTTATGTTACATTTTATTGACATGTAATTACTGACCTCTTGATCTTTTATTATATTATATTAGATTATATTATATATAATTATAACATATCATAACTATATATAATATAACAATAATACTAGCTTTAGCCAGCGCCTTGTCAGCACGGGATTTAAAAAAACTTAGAAGTAGCCTATGTGTTCCAGATTATGTTCTACTTTTGTGCCAAACATTGAGATTCGTTAAGCCGTTTTGGAGTTAAGTAATGTAAAACATTTATCCATGCAAACTTTCGCATTTATAACATAGTAAGATCGATATATTTATTTAATAATTTTTATCTTTCACGTCTCACACTCGTTCGCATCCATGTGACTTGATCTCGTAACAATTGCAAGCTCTATGGAAAATGACCTTCTCCATTAACAAAGAAGTCAAATAATATGTCAATAATTTGCTCAAGTATTTTTATCTTTTCCTGTCTCGCTTGTCTTTTTGATTTACGAGTATTATAATCAATTGTGCCTTCAAGTGTTAGTTTAAAGTAATAAAACTAATAGATATTCAGTTACGGTTGATTACTGCAGGAGCATCAAGTTCAAAGAGCACATATAAATTATTATTTATGCAAATGTTTGACGCTATTATGAGATCTAGGTATACTATATATATATAACCTTAAAATCTATGTATATTAACATACTATATGCACTACTAGCATATATGAAAATATATGTGTGAAGTCAACCAACCCGCACTGGGCCAGTGTGGTTAACTATGGCCTAATCACCCTTAACTTTGGGTAAGCTTCGAGCCCCTCGGTGGGGACGTATAGTGAGCTGATGATGATGATGATGATGTACTAGCAATAACTATAAATTTGTATTGTAAAATTTTTTGAACAAATAAAACAAAATATATGCTAAGTGTGATATCGTGGGAAGATATCAAAATGTAATTCATTAGTACGAAGGATAAAACCGAAATGCACGGCTAGTAAAGACTAGATTCTTTGACTTTTCATTCCTAACATAATGACGGACAAATCTTTTAGATTCTCTTTCTTTTGGTTAAAAAATATCAAGAAATGTCTAAAACTATTATGTTTAATCACAAAGTAATCTTTGGTAAATTAAATCGACTAGAATATTTCTAAGTAATTAATAATATATATACACGGCAACAATCATAGTAAATCTTTGCCCATCACTAATTTGTTATTAAAATAACAGGATAATACAAGCAATCAACTAATCTGTGCTCGTTGGAGTTCTTTTTATAAGGTTTTTTTGTAACAGAGAAAAATAATTAAGTTTCATTTATATTCTGGTTATGATTCTAATATTAAAGAGTTTGGAATTATGTTAGATTGTTAAATATTTTCAAGTTTTATGTTTTATTCCAAGCCCACTATTACGACGGCCTGGGTAAAGTAACGATGTTAGTAGTCGAACAGTCTAAAATCTACACATATTATTGAAATTAGAGTGTCTGTATGAAATTACAAAAAAAATTTACACGAGATGAATTTGCATAGATGTTAACGAGAAACCAATTTAAAAAATTCTTGTCTTTCTATATCTGTCCGCTAGGCGGCGTTGGTTCCGGGTTACCTCTGGAACGGCTACACCGATTTAGACGGGTCTTCGATGGAGAGGTAGCTGATGAACGCGAAGATGTTGTAGGCTACTTTTTTAAATTACAAGCGAAGTCGCGGGCGACATCTAGGGTATTTAAGTCACATACACTTTATATCACACATATAAGACTTCAACTTTTTTAATTATATTTTTATAAAATATTAAAAAATAATATTATTTTTATTTAAAGAAAATGCTTGGCACGAAAATATCGTGTTTTAATACAAGTGTTCCGACAGGGGAAAACTACATTGAAGGACTTTGTTTACACATTTTAACTTACTAACCTTTTAGACTATTCTAACATTAAAAGATAGAAAACAAAGATGTCGTCAGCAAAGTGGTAGATGGATTCTAAGAATTGAGATCACGGATACACAAGTAGAAATAGTAAACAAGCCGTGTTAAGCGCTAAGTGCTGCTTATAAAATCTTATGTTTTGATAACTTATAAAAGGTATAGGTTTTTGCTATCTTCATATTAAGAACTATGTGTTTTTATCTATCAAATAAAAAAAGTTCAACATAAAAAAGATGATGATGATATAATGGTAAGATGTTCGTACAAAACAAAGAAAGTACGACACAAAAAAGTATAAAAATTGTGCATCATCGGCAAGGATTCTCTCAACCGGGAAATGGAAGCTCGGAAGAGTTGGATAATTGTTTCCATATGACGTAGGTTCATCATACAAGCTTTTTAATCTGTTATATTCCGTGTTTCATTGTAATTATTGCTGTACGTTTCCACTGCAGCAGCAGACATATTTAATATACAACTTACAAGAAATATTATCATCATTAATCTGTTTAAATTGTTTAGACTTCCGCGAGTCATTATTATACTACTAATTTTATATAATTTTTTTTAAACAAGCTTAAATTAAGTTCTTATTAATTAAAATACCTAAACATTTTTAAGAAAGATCGTCACGGTGAATCAAACGAACCCAAACTCAAGGATGTGTCGTATCACTGCGAAGTTCCTATGAACATTTTCCAGCTCAACCACTAGATCAGCAGCATGATATCATAATATTGAATTGTCACGCGATTTACATATGTAGGCAAAATTTCATCTCAATATCCGGGAATTGGTTAAAATAAAATTTTTAAGATTTGATAACAAACATCAGGACAGATGAAACTAAAAATAACTTGTGAAATATATGAATACGAGTATACCAATTTTTTAATTAGTCTTAGTTTAGTTTTAAAAGTTACTGGCCACATATTTCATACGTATTTTTTTACTTTTAAATTTATAATCTGCGATCAAGTCAGTGACAAAGACTGACCTTTCGTGTTGACCGAGTACAGAGCCTTAAGACCAGAGGTTATCGCGTTTCTTAATTAATATACCTTATTAATTTAATTAGGTGCTACTATAAAACTTTTTCTTATATTTAAAAGGTTATTATTTCTACATTTGTCAAATGGACGACAATTTGTTGATATTTCTTTTTAATTTAAAATGATACACATAGTTTTCGTATTATATTTTCTCTTTGAAATATATTTATGAAATTTGAAAATTAAAACTTAAGAAAACATGAGCCTAATACTACTTATTTTTCTAGCTGTACAGAAGTTTTTGAGTCTGGGCTTGATCCAACAAATTTTTAGTCGGTCTAGCCTCGTTTGAAATCTAGCCTTATGTTATTTCGTTCTACGTGTCCGAAAATCAAGTATAATAAGTTAAATGGTACTATATGCGTATTTATAATTTTACAGTTAGATAGACAACTTGGCCAAGAGGCACTAAGCCTTGTCATCATTTCGATACCTTGGTCATGGTGATGATAGGTTTGGCGTTCAGTGACCTACACTCTGATGACTTTGCCACAACTTACCACAAAATTAATATATTTAATATCAATGCTAAAACTACTGGGAATGTATTTAATCAAATACAAAATTAAAGGTTTTTGTGTAACGTTCATGTTATGAAAAATAAGCGGCAAAAAGTGCTTAAAATATTATTCACGAGGTCAAAAATAAATATGTAGTTTTATTAACTGGCGTAATATAAATTTTCCTGCGAGTGAAGTAAATAAATATATTTCGTTGTCTTTACACAAACAACAAAGATTAAATATAAAGTTTAGTTTAAACCAAACGTATGTTTATATTCAGAAATACAAGCGAAGAATGTTGTCTTCTCCTTTGTTATTCTAACCTATAACGGCAACTTGCAGCTAATGTTGACAATTAAATAATTTCAAAATTTATGGTAACTTCGCAGTGAATCTCCACAGAAAAAACATCAGTACAAACACATCATGAACATCTTGTTATTTCTCTTTTGTTGAAATCACCTACGTGAAAACATAATGCATTTAAAACCTAACAAATAATCATTAGAATTAAAATTGAATATGAAACGTTTTAAAATCTAATGTATTAACTTAGAAAGAAGTGTTTGGGGAATTAAGTTTAGTAGACACGCCGGCCATGCAGATTCCATGACCATGACAAACATTTCTAAACAATATCATAAAAATCAAACTTCACATATGTAAAATGTAGTTTATTTGTTACACATAAAGGAAACAAACAATGATTAATGGAGTGGTGCATATCAGTCAAGGCTGAGGTCACTGATGGGCACAGCGTCGAACAGTTTGCGCACCTCGCTTACAATCTTGGACACGATCACCTCCACTATAGGGGGCGACACCTCAGCGAAGATGTCGCGCCAGTTGTTGTTCGCGAAATCCAGCACAGTGTTCGCTGTAACAAGAATTTAATTAAGTAACCCAGTAAGTCAGTCTCATTGTCCGGAATGTCCTTTGTGATAATACAAAGCAAAGTACAAATTGAATGACCCACGATGTCTTAACTCAACTAAAAAATATCTTCGAAAATACTATTCTGCTTTTAAACATAGAAGGCCAAAATTAGTCCTCTTCCCCTTCCCACGCTTTTTCTTATAAGGAAAGGATGGGAAGTGGAAGTGGACTTTCCGTATGAGAGGATGCATGGAAAGGGAAAATATTTTCTTTCTGTGCATCCTCTCCTCCGTCGATTAAAGGTAAGCAACGCATATGCAATTGCATATGTCTATGGCCAACGGTCACTTCGCTGTTTCAGCGATTACAGGTGACCACTCGCTCGTTTGCCTCCTTGTGATATAAAAAAAAAGAGAAAAGAGTAAACTAACACTTTTAGACATTAATAGTTAGAATCCTTTGGCGCGAATGACGTGCTTCCGTTACAAAGTCAAGTGTCAGAATGATTAGTGTGGGGACATAAACGTCGACATTTTAGTAAGGCTAGTGTTGCGCCAGTACACCGGCACAGTGTCGGATTTTCTTTCTAACTCATTACACTTCTTAACCCAATGTTTCTATATTACACTCACCCAGCTGTGTATTGCCGCCGAACAAGTTCTGGAAGCGGAACTCAGCGCCGGTGAGGACCTCAGTGGAGTGCCTCCAGTTCTCCACCGTCCAGTAGCGCTGGCCCTGTTTCTCGCGCTCACCTACCGCGAACTCCATCTTGACCAGGATATCACCTGCCAAATTATGTTATTGCGTATGTAAATCTGGATACGAGAAATGTATTACTTGCTTAAAGATAACCCTTAAATATCCAGATAAATGAGCACAGATTTGTAGAATATTAAGATGAGGTTTGGTCTCGGTATTTTAGAGGACTATTTTATTTTCTGGCTCTGGCAACTGCGACTGGCTAAACAGCAATTTCGCGTTACTAATAACTTGGTGGAAAAGGGCTGCAAGTGACAGCTACTTTCGTCTCAGAAAAAAGTCATTGTTGTATTTTACGATTTAATTTAAAATTTATTAAACGCTTAACGAGACTTCTTGTCAGCAAATGACTTACGTATTCTGATCTTGTATCTGCCCTGACCCTCGATGGGCATGATGAGCAGCTGCCCGCCCAGCTGGTAGTCACCCACCAGCGTCACCGAGCACTTCACGTCCAGCTGCGTGCGCTTCGAGTAACGTCTGAAAATGGAAACACACGTGGAATTATTAAACGTAAATTACATCATCCAGATGGATCGGATGGCACTAAAAATATTTTCCAGGACATCCTCGACTACCACTAAATTTCCCTGGACTGCCACCACATCCTTGGTTTTGAGCTGAATTCTCCTGATCCGACAGCCAAGGATATAAAGGTTAACAAATGGTCCTCACCTTTTTTCGAAATTAGTCTTTATTTCTACGGTTATAAAATGCAGGTTCCCTAAACACAATAATCTAATATACTATTTATCTGTCAAACTTGCTTGTACTCACTTAACTCTCATCACCTCGCAGTTTCTTAAGCCTTTAACTACGGTGTTTCTGAACTCCATATGCAGACCGGCCTGGTCCGCCACGATGCCGTCCAGAGTCATGGGGTCCAGGGGCTCCATGCCCAGTTCGGGGAGCCCCGCAGCCACTACGGGCACGGCGCGTTGCGTCGACGCTCGCAGACATTGCATGTCCCGTGCATAACATGGCGTTATAAATGGAGCTATAATACAATTGTTGATTTAAACTCACGATACTTGTATACAAACATATTGTCATCTATTTGTACAAAATAGTGTATAAGTGAGTTTTTCACTGGTAATTTCGCTGGGAATTTTAGCTATTTAAAAAACAGATGAGTCGAGAACCTGTGCTACATTTCGGACACTGTTAAAATAAAAACAAATTCGAACTTTACATTTCTTATAAAAGCGAGTAAAACTTGGCGAGTTTTATTCCACTATTAAACTAATAATTTCACGACAAGGGAAACAAAATCAACATGCAAAACTGCATTTTTGAAGCTATTAAGTAGTAATTTCTCTTTAAATGTATCCAGTAATTACTAATTTGGACATTATATTATTTTTATAACGAATAAAAGAAATATAATAATATTAGCAATTGTCGTGTAAATATAATCTTATTTTTTTGTCCTCGAGTTTAATAGTGTAGTAAAGTCAACGGCCAAGGGTGACCAGGAAACGCCAATGACTACAGCGTGTCTCCAACCTTTCGAATCAACAAGGAAAGTTCATGGGGCATTGACACTTCCTTTTTGGAAGATGATCAATTAATTGTCTTTATACACTGAGAGTTAATATTTAGTTAGGACTGTTAAAAAAATAAAAACAACAATGAATGACTCCAAACAACGTCAAGTACTAATACTATTGGTAAAAGTAACTTACTAAGGCTGGCTTCCACTGCGCACAACGAGCCCAGAATAGCTACCACCAAGAACCTCATCGTTGTCTACTATACACGAAGACTAACAACCGACAAAGAAACATTACATATATAGATGTATGGATGTCTAAAAATATACTAGTAATTGATTGTAAACGTATATTTAATTAAAGAGAGATATCAATTAAATATACATTTTTATGACGTATTCGCTTTCATTTGATAAATCATATTATATGTAATCAAGTCCGTAAAGTGTGCATTATCAAATTCGTAAATTAAAAAAAACACCTTGATGGGTTTGAACTCAAGAACTGTTGATTCAAATCCAGTACTTAACCACTGCGTCACTGACGCTCTAATCTTACTAATTTTATAAATGCGTATCTCTAGAACAGCTGCATAGATCTTTTTTTATATCACAAGGTGGCAAACGAGCGAGCAGCCACCTGAAATCGCTGAAATAGCGAAGTGACCGTTGCTCATACACATACACAATAGCATATGCGTTGCCTACCTTAATCGACGAAGGAGACGATGCACAGAAAGAAAATATTTTCCCTTTGCATGCATCCTCTCATCCGGAAAGTCCACTTCCACTTCCCATCCTTTCCTTATAAGAAAAAGGGTGGGAAGATAAAGAGGACTAATCTACCTGAAATGGGACTAATCTACCTACCATATATGTAGAACATTGTCTAGAAGAACACATAGGCTACTTACTAAGCTTTCTTTTAATTCCGAGCGGCCGGAGTAATAGATGAAAAAAAATCATAACAAATTACTTTCTATCTTGTAGTGTAGGAAAATTTGTGGTTTATATCTATCGAGGTAATTGTTTCTGAATAACAAAATAGATCAGAATATGATGCATGTAATTATAATACAACAATTAAGCACATTACATCAAAATAACATTATATTATTTGATAGGGGAGACAGAGTGGGCCGCGGACGAGAGCGAAAGCGTGTCCGTGGTCCCGTCCCGATGCGTTAGAGGAACAGAGAGGTTTAGTGGGTATGCCTCCGCTATGGAGGGGAATCCCACATAACTACCGCGTCCCACCCTGGGCGCGGAGTATGCATAAAGTATTCCTCTCTGGAAAAAAGGGGAGACAGAGTAATAGGGGAAAGAAAAGGCATTGGTGCTATTTAGGGATAAATTACTCACAACCTGTAAACAATACAACACGTGTTATGTTTAAGCGTTGGTTTTCACCGACAGAACATCTATACCATAACGTAGTACGAAATGTGTTGTACAGTTAGACCCGCTCGCGGTATTCCACTTTGAGAAAAATTATTCTTTCAATTAAGAAGACAGCAATGAGTTTCGGAAACAACGGGATAATAGTAAAACGCTAAAAGCTTAGCCATCTACCACTCACCCAACTTTTTTCGTACAGACATATTTAAAAGTTGCGCCCAATTGGTTATTGTTTCTGCATCATCGTCTCCATGGGTACGAAATGTACAAAGACTGTCGTATATAAACTGGAATACCGTTAGAATCCCCAACAGTACATGCATATTAGCTGTAGAAAAGATTGTAAGTTTCTATTCTATCTATCTGTATGTGACATCAAAATTTGATTTTCGTCAGTGTTTCAATAACTCGTAGATATAATAGATTCTAATGATGAGTCATAAGACATTGTACTTGTCATTTCACTCAGTCTGAACAATCGAAATGTGGTTTTTCCATCAACTCATTTGAAATGAGTAAAAAACGTACAAATCTATCAAAGTAACGGTCCCATTGTTCTGTAGGTGCTAAAAGGTCATGTCTTACCGCAAAATAAATACAATACATGGCATTCTTATAACACATAAACATACCTCTCCTTCTTTAAAAAAAACACAAAGATCAATATCATCAATATGTTTCGACAGTGGAAAGCTATAGTTAAGTTACACATGTTTGCCCTGTCATCTTTTCACTTGATTCATTTAGGAATCTTTTATCAACGTACGAAATTTTGTCTATTTTAATGAAGAAAGATTGAGCTCACATGGTTAACGTAAATATATAATATTTATGAGGACCAAAATAACAGAATGAACAAATATTAATTATAGACATATAAAAATATAACCAAGCATATATAATGCATTCATTCCGTGTTATGTTCTTAACGACTAACCTTTTTGTTTTAAAGAGCATTGATTCAGAACTGTTTTACGTTGCTATTATACTTCAACAGACGCTTTGTTCATGCGGTAACGATCGACTCATTTACTATTGTTCATAGACTTTAGACACTTTAAGCGTTTGTAATTTTTATTACAATGTATGTAATAAATACTAATAGACTAGTTATTTATATAATGAGAAGAAGACATAATTAAATTTATTTTTTGTAGAAATGGAGTACAGAAAATAAACAATACGAAAATTATCCGTGCTCTGGGAGATGCGCGGAAGTTGTGTCAACAATATCTTTGTGTGCGTGAAAATTACTACTGTTGTTATGTTGTCCAACCAAAGTCCAATATTAAAACAATAATATGAACTTGTTTTGGAGGACACAATATTTCTGATTCTTTAGTGATTAATTTACCAATTTAAAATATTATAAAGAAGTATTCACACTTCCATAAAAGGCACGGTAATTTAAAATTGTAAGGAAAGATGATGCTATCGTTGGCCAGATATTACGTACTCTATAAAATACAAAATACAAGACAACATAGTAAGGTGATTTAAAATCAAAACAAGCGACCTCAAATTGTCCTAAAGTTTTTCATTATTTTGTCTTCAAAAATAGATAAGAAACATTTTATTGTATTTTATTCCTTTGCATCTTATTGTGAATATTTGTTTGCTTCTAAAAGGTCAAATGAAGTTGACACGACGCATAAGTGTAATGAACTTTTACTGCAAACTTACTTAAAAAATTATGAATGTCTTTGCAATTTTCTTTTGTCCAAAACTGTCGATTGACGCAAATACTTATCGGTTATTGATTTTTTCTTAAAACAAGACACAAGAATACAAGGTTCAAGTGTCCTCATATCCAATAAACTATTAAATATCTTTCAAATGAGAGATCAATATTTCGATGACATCAGGCCAATAAGCAAAAAATATTGACATTACGGTAACACATACATGTTAATATCTGTTAATTTATAATCACTATGTAAAAATAATTAAAAAGTTTATATTGTACAAGTCCTTTAGACATTATTAGTTGCACAAAATGGCGCGCTTTCGTTATTAAGTCAAGTGTCAGATTGATTAGTGAGGGGACATAAATGTCACATTTTAATTAGGCTAGTGATGCGCCGATACACCGGCACAGTGTCGGTTTTCTTCCTAACACAACTGACACCATTTATAATTTAAAATATTATCGATTTTCAACCACTATATCATACCTCAAATCAGTATATTTACTAATTAATTTACCAAAAAAAAACAACTGATGATGACACTTAGGTATAAAATTAATCGAATGACATTAGTTACAATTGTACATACATACAAACCTGCTTATATAAAACATGTTGATAAACGATAGAGCGGACACCAGAATTCGTCAAAAAAGCGAAGAGACCGCTGCCTAATAGGCATCTGTATATCTGTATAGTCCGGTAAAGAGATGTTAAACATTCAATCCACATAGTAACCATCACTAGTTCAAGTTCAAAATCAATATCTTCATTTGACATTTCATTAAATTGATAAATGCGTCATTACATCGAGTACTTTATCTTTAAAAAATATTTATTTAGTCGTATGTTTGCTTTTACAGATTGTTTTTACCTTTCAAGATGACAAATATATATTTTTAATGTGTATAATTTTGTATATGCAAATAATATCATCGACTAAAAAATGTATTTAATGGAAAATCTTACTAAAATTAAAAATATATCTATATGTAGAACTGTTTAATAAATAATTTAACAATGTCCCGGACACTGGCTGTCATGTCCAAGTTAATCCTGGGTCAAGAAAACGCGGGAAAGTTGAAATGCGAAAGGCGCCTTTTTTAAATTAGAATTTTAAATTTCGTTTTATTTTGTTGAAAATCACAAAACTTTCACAAGTTTTATTACTACTGGGTTCTCTCATCATGGGGAAACGTAAAAAGAAGAAATTGCCGGAAGAAGAAGTTTTTGAAGAAACGACCGAAGAGGAAGAAGTAGATACAAGTACTGACGAAGATTCCGAGAAAGAGCAGCGTAAATATAAGCCGTATTTTGTATCAGATTACAGCAGGAGGTACCCTGAGGACTCTGTCCTCGTTGATTTTGTAGTTTTTATAGAATCAAACGAAGAAAAAAAGCCAATCGGCACGCGGGACATGATGTCTCTATCCACTCATATAAAGAGATTTAATAAGGGAATTAAATATTTACAATCCATGAACAAATACAAAATAGGCGTTCATTTCGAAAAGCCTTCTTTAG